TTGCAACGTTGAAATCCCCAATTATAGAATCCTTTGTAGTAATTTCTCTCCTTTTAGCCCTAAGGATTGGTCTGAAATGAGGATTCACAAGTTTGGGGGAGAGATTTGCTTCAACCACGACAATCTTTCTCTTCTTGGGAGCTGGATCTTCGGCTAGTTCGAAAATCGAATCATCTTGTGGAGAAGGGGAACGGACAGTTTCAAAAGGGTCTAACTCAACCGGGATTGAAGTTTCGATGGTCTGAATTGTATCTGCTAGCCCACTGGTCTGCAGATCAGTGTTATCAGGTAAAGAAGTTTCGGCTGAAACCTCATAAATAAGTTCCTCAAGGACAGAGGTCGAGATCTCAGGAATAGTTGGATTCAGTTCGGTAGAAGGAGTTGATTCGACAATTGATAACAAGTCAAGGAAATTTTTTATCGTCCTGCGTCCAAACGCCGCAAGAGAAGACTTCTTCTTGGCTCGAGGTGTTTGTGCCCAAGCAGTCTGAATCACCTCCCGATCTGCAACCAAAGTGGCGTTGGGTTGGTTCGGCACGACAATGAAGGAAGTGTTAGTTAGAGTGTACCCGAGCAGCGTGTGGGCAGCTTGACAGAAAGATTCTCATTGAAATTCTAAACTTTCTGAAGTTGGTCCATCTTGACAGAGGACTCAACAATCCTTCCCTTCAGAGTTTCACTTGTGCAGAAGAAAACCCAAGTCAGAAAAATAGAAAACCAAAGCTAAAACAGAAGGGTAAAAGACATCAAATACCTGACATGCCTTCTTTATATGGACAACGGTAGAAGGGAGCAACACCAGCAGCATACTCCCAATTCCCAAAAATAAAAAAGATATCATTCTCATAGCCTTTGTTAGAATTCGGGAGATGGATCACAAGGTAACGGTCCTTCTTTCTTACCGATAGGTAATAGCTATCTCTAGCAGCTTTGATGATGTAGTAGTATAAGATCTCCCACAGCCTAAGACTCAAACCTAGAATCTTGTTCAAAGAGGACACCCTCATGACAATCTTGAAAAATTTTAGACAGCATTGGAGGGGACAGAGCTTCGCAGCAGAAAACACCCAAATCAAAAGAGGTTCAAGAGGGAATCGAACGCCACCCTCGGTTATGGCACGAGTAGGAATGGGGATTGACTCTCTTGTGCTAATCAATGGCTCATCTTTCCAAACAACTCTAACCTCGACATCATATGGAATGTTGTACATGAATTTGAAGGCAGGGGCTTTTGAAGGAGTGAGAGGAGCCATGAAGAAGATGAAGTGCAGAGAAAGAAAAATGCAGAAAGAAAAGGATAAGAGTCTGAGAGTCTAGAAGCAAAAAAGCGAAGTGAGTAAAATACGAAGAAAGATGGTTTATAAGGAGGGAGGAATTTTAAAGGGCAACATTTAAATGCCCTGAATGTGCCGCCAAAATGAAAGGGCATGTTACAAGGTAAAAGTGATGATGATGAAAAGATAAGAAAACGGCTGACTAACAGAAAGCGTCTGTCAGATATTTTCTTAGGGCAAATGAAGGGGTTAGCCCTCATCATTACACATGTAATGGCATTAAATGAAACCCATGTGAGGTTGACAAGATAGATCACGTGACGGGGAAGTCATTCCCACAGCCCTATAAACTGAGTCGTGCTGATCGATAGGTTCGGTAAAGAAAGGAAGAGTTCGATTCTATTTACAACTGAATTCATCAATCTAATTCAGCTAAGCAAGGAAAGAGCTCGACTTGTACCAAGCCGAGTCCGTTAAAATATTTTGCAAGATGATTGAAGAGGTCGGTTTGTGCCAAACCAAGTCCCTTAATCTGTTCGGCAAACATCGAGTGTGCTCGGCATCCGTTATGTCCGAACTATTTCAAATGATAGATGAAAAGATAAAGATCCACCTATAACTTAGGCAATCAGATAAACAAATCAGAGAAATTGAAGATATCAAGAGAAAATAATGGAGAAATATCAGCAACTTCTCAAACCGAATCACTAAATTGAAGGAAGAGGTGCCATCTTAAATCAAAAATCACAGAAACCCTAAGGGGATAACCATCTATAAAAACGGAGGAATCCAAGGTAAAAGGTACACTGGACTCTCCTTGTCTTCTTCCTTTTGTTTCAAAATTTTTACTAATTTAAGCATCAGAGTGCCTTCGATTGAAGCACTTCGATCTTGAACAGTTTGTTCGTTTTGTAGGTAAAGGAAGACTGATAGATCAAGTTCAAAAACACGTCACTTTTTTAATTTTAGTAAGAAGTATTCTCGATTTTTTGTCTCTTATAGTAACAACTTGTCCATATCGAAGTCAAGAGTGTCAATCGTATCGAATTAAACGGGTGACGAATAAAAAACTTACAAACTCATACACAACACGTTTGATAAATATATAAAAAATTTTAACACGAACAAGAACGATTTAATAAACAAATAACATTACACAACTTGTTTAACTCATTTAAAAATAACAAAAAAAAACATTATTTTAACAATTTTTAAACTCCATTTTTTTTGCTTCAAATTACACTTTTATAATTGACAGAATTAAAGACGAAGTGATAAGCCACATTACAAAGGAGAGGAGGCCCATAACTCTTTTATGGGCAACTAATGCCTTATTCTCTCCGCTCCACTTTCGATGTGGGATTCAAAGAAAAAGGACATTCAATGCCTTATGGCTCAAAACTTTTGTTTCCTATTTTCTTTTAACTGATTTCGTTACTTTTATTTTTTTGAAATGTTTTCTTTACTATTTTTTTTACTCATTCATTATTTTATATATATATATATAATTATTAATTTATTATTATATTAAATTTATTTAAACGGGTTGACATGTCTCATCTGAACACAACCTGTTTATTAAACGTGTTTGGCGGGTCAACTTATTTATCATCAAAATTCGTTAAGATCTCACTAAAATCCGCTAAATTTATGTCAATTAATCATATCGTGTCGAATTTTGACAAGTCAGATCGAGGTAGCTAAAACAAGTAAGGCTGATTCTTTGCTTTGGGTTCTCAATCGTGAAAGAGACAAAAGACATAAAGTTTGTCTCATTCAATGATGAATGACCAGTACAAAAAAGTATTAAATACAAGTTGAATATGCTACACTCGGCTCCCCTTTTTTTTGTCCCTTCTTTTTAAAGGTTAAGAGTCTTGCGCTCTACCAACTGAGCTAGACGGGCTTCTTACTCTCGACTTCTTACTCTCTTCTTCCATGCTTAATAGCATCGTGTGCTAGTATGCTTATACGCATATATAATTGTGTTATTTATGTACTAAGATTCATATAGATCAAATTTATCATATAGTGTTCACAAATATTTTTAATTTTTGTGATGAAATTGTTTTTTTACATAAAAGATGTACTACAGGTCAAACAAAGTGGTTGGTGCTCCACACAAATCCATCAGAGGGGATAGTACATACTTTGAATGTTGAAAATTAAAGAACAAGTGCTGGTGTGCTTCAGCTTGCCCAAAAAGAACATGGGCCTCCCAGAACAATAGGAGCTCAGACAAACCATAAAGGACAATGGCCAAGCAGATACAAACAAACATAGTGCCCAGGAGAAGAATTTAGAAGGAAGTAAAGGCCAAGAGCTTAGACTTCCAACAAAATTCCTCACCAAATGACCAAAAAACCAAGAAAACAAAGGGAACCACAGAGAAGTGCAGTAGGAGCACCGCAACATTGGGAAACAGACACAATAACACTGTAACAGAGGGGAGCAGATACAACAACCTACAACAGTGGACAGCAGACATAGCAACCTGCATTAGTGGAACATAGCAACCAGCACCAAGGGAAAACACCAACAGAATTCCTCACTGTAAGTCGAATGACAAGGAAAACAGAGGACCACAGAGAAGTGCAGCAGGAACAAAGGGCAAGCAGACCCAGGAACCAACTCATAAGCAAAAGAAACAAGAATAGGCAAGGTTCCATAATTGGCCTGTAAGAAGGTTGCTAGTGGAAGCCTTGAATTTCAATGTAGATACTCTGTTCCTTATAGTTTGACGAATAAGATGGCTTAGTGCAGTTGGGTCCTTGTATTGATTTCGAAATCTTCTAACATTCATTTCCATCCAAATATAGTAGATAGAAGCTGCCAAGCAAATTCTATATACCAAATTCTGCATTGATTTCCCCTTCCAATTGATAACAGCCCATTCAATGAGTTCATTCCATGGCTTGGGTTGCCGGACAAATCCACTAGTGAGCATAATATTGTTCCAAACACTTGATGAATAAATGCATTCAAAGAATAGGTGGCTATGGGTTTCGTCTGCAGCTCTTGTCCTCCATGGAAGGATTGGGAGAGTATGAGGGCATTGTGCTGGTAATAACATGAGAGGAAGAGGAGGAAGGGGAGGTAGAAGGTGGCCATTAGCTATGATTCTTCTGACAAGAGACTCTTTCGGAAATCCCCTTCTCCATTACCAATTTTGTGAACCATTAGTGGTCTAATAGTCCTTCTTAACTTCAACAAATTCAGCCAAATCCAAGAGCAAGACCAATTGGCCTTCACATCCCAAAAGTTTCTCCTCTTCAGGTGATAAGCATGCACCCATTTCACCCAAAGATTTTTTTTGTCAGTAATGAGTTTCCAAATGTACTTCATCATCAAGGCAACATTACACTCCTTGACTCTTTTAATTCCCAATCCACATTCTTTCTTTGGTTTGCAGATATCCTCCAAAGAGATTTTAGCCCCTGAACTACTCAACTCTATACCTTTCCATAAAAATTTTCTCATAAGCTGCTCCAGTCAATCGATAACCTAGTGCATCTTGGTGGTTAACTCTCACCGGGCTAGGATGGAGCTGCTGCTTCCTATTTGATGGGATTGCGGGACTAGAATCAGAGTTATGATTAGAGACCACATTCAAAATGCTTGCAGATCTAGGCTTTGAACTAGTACCAAGTTCTAATCAGGTGGGAAAGAGGGGTTGGGACCCAGGTTATTCGGCACAGAGGCTTGTGATTTCTCTTGAGAGGGAACCTTTGTAGTGGAGATGCCATTAGATTCGAGTGTGGGTGGGGACCCACCTCCTGAAATGGGAGTGGAAGCTTGCAATTTCTCTTGAGCGGGATCCATTGAAGTGGAGAGGCCATTATAGTCGGGTGTGGGGGGGGGGGACCCAGCTCCTGAAATAGGAATGGGGTTAACAGGATGGGTCCCTTGAGTGGAAGCCCTAGCTTTGGAAGAACTATTAATGGCCATTAAGATGGGAGAATGGGTAGGTGAGGTGAGATTAACAGCGAAGCAGAGAGGAATGAGAGATGCGGGAAGACAGGGTGAGGATAGAGGAGATGAGAGGAGAGCGTGGGACGCCATTTTTGTCAACCAATTAATATTGCTAACGCCTAATGCTTAGTATTGTAATCATTAAAATGGAAATTTAACATACATTTGTCTATTTATACACTGTACATGATGTGCAATAGTTACTACCATATCTTAATGGCTTATAGTTCTACCCAAAATAAAATGACGACTGTGTTGAACAACTACCTATTCTAAAAATTTAAGTCGTTAGAAAAAGTGTAATTTAAATATTTATACTTCAATACGGTCTCTCAAATTTAAGTTGTTGCAGAAAGTGTAACTTAACTATTTATACTTTAATACGGTCCCTCAAACTTAAGTTGTTGCAGAAAGTGTAACTTAAGTATTTATACTTTAATACGGTCTCTCATGTGTAGATTGCCTAGAACGTAAAAATATTTTTAATAATTAGAGTGATACCAATCTATTGTAAAAATTTAAGTTGTTGGAAAAAGTGTAATTTATGTATTTATACTACAATAAATTCTCTCATCCACCCAAAATAGAGGCCTTAAGGTTTTGTAACTCCTTCATAGGCCTGACTACTAATATCATAGCTCTTGTTATTGAGTTCTCTCTCTGTCTCTCTCTCTCTCTCTCTAAATTGGATTCCATGAAATCATGGATTAGACAACCTTGTTTTCTTGCATTTTTCTCAAAACACAACTCACCAAAACACAATTCACAAGACTTTCTAATTTTTATTTCTTTACAAATCACCCTTCAAAGCATTTGACCTTTACTTTCTTGAGGAGACGACCTTGGAATACTCATTCCAAGTAAAACACGACATTGCAAGTCTCACTACGCTTAGGGAGCACTTTTGTACACACACACATTTTTGTTCATACACACGATTTTTTTTCCACTTCTTGCATTTGAACGCGAGAGAGAGTGACACTTACTAATTCGTATAAGCCATATACACACAATTTGCACTCATGTTTGGAGATTAGGGAAAACCATCAAGTACTACTCAAGTTAATGGTGACTAAGATATTTGAGAGGACATTCCCAAGAGACGAGGAGGAGGATGATGGGACTGACGAGGAGGAGGAATATAGAGAGTTTTAGTTTTGTTTTTTATTTTGTTGTTGTTCTTGATTGGTTGTATATAGGGATAGTGGTCTAGGAGTAGTCGACCTAATACAAGAGCCCCTAGGAACACAGGCCATTTTGTTTAGAGTTCTTTGTACTTAATCTCACACATTTATGAATGAATGACCTTACTTTTTATTTCGTTATGCCCCAAGTTCATTTACATAATTGCAATATGATTTGAGTATCTTGTTGATCAATGAATTTTTTAACATGAATGGAATTGTTGTACATGTAGAATAATTTGAAATAAATTTAGCTAGGGACTAGCAAAGCTCAAGCTGGGGGGTGAGATGAGTGTGGAACATTGCATATTAAGCATCTTCATTACATCCAATTTAACTTGTTTTGTAATGAATTTTTTGGGAAATGGATTCAAATTGATAATTAATGGAGATTGGCTTGATTGTAGGTAATAGGTTGGAAAGGGCAAGCTTAAAGTACCCCTTCAAGTGATCAAGGTCAATGGGGGAGAAAGGAACTTGTGACGAATGGCTTGGGAGCTCAAGGAACCAAGAATTTCAAGACAAGGGAAAACCTACCGGTAGAAGAATTGAGAGTTACTGGTAGAAAAGCCTACTAGAAAGCAGCTACCAGTGCCCCTTGCAAGACCTACTGGTAGCATACCCTACTAAAAATGAGCTACCGATAGCAGCTACCTAGAAATCCCAGATCGTTCTCCGAACAACTCCACCAACTATGGGGCCCACCTTTTGTTCACCTAATCCATGTTCTAACATTTCTAACACTCCAGGATCACCCCCTAACCCCTACATTCAAATTTGAAGCATGAGGAAGTGGGGAGTCAAGAGAAAGAAGAAGTGGTTAGAAAGCATGGGAGGATCACTCTTTGACTGATTTTGGAAACTTTTGTGGACAATCACTCTCCAATCACTCCAAGTTAGCCACTCATGCCATGATAGAGGGGATATTACTTCCTTTTCCAGAAGGGATACATTTTCGGTTTTAATTTTTTTTTCCATCACCAAACAAAACACATGTTACAAGAAAATTAATTTCTATAAGTTGAATTAGAAGAGAATCAAGAGCTTCAAAAAGCACAAAGTCATGTATAATATCTTTAGTTTAGTGTTTTGGTTTGGGCCATACAACATCCTTAGGTGATGTTTGAGATGATTAATAATAGTGCTACTTATGAATTAACTTTGAACAAAGAAATTATTTTTCAAAATAGTTTATTTAAATTACTTTCAAATAAGTTAAAAGTAATATCATCATCTCACTCCTACCACCACTACAAGAAATCGCAATTAAAAATGTCGTCACTAAATACATATATTTAGTGGTATGATATTAAAATAATTTAGTGGCCATAATTATTTGTCGTCACTAAAGATGTATAACTAGCGGTTAAAAATTATTGTTGTCATTGAAGAAATGACAGTAAATCTAGTTAGTGGTAATTTGAATGTTGAAGCAAAAAATATATCACTAACTCGTCACTAATTCCAAATATTTAGTGACAACAATTTAACTTAGACACTAATAGTGTTAAATTTTTGTGATAACAACGTTTACTTACAACAAATATGCCCTGTTTTCAGCGGCAAATTTTTTATTTTTGCCACAGAATGTCAATTTAAGTACTAGAAGAAAAAGACATTACAAGAAATTTTTTTATGGATTACCATCCTCTCTCTCTCTCTCTCTTGACTACTTCACCGTCTCTTGACTATTTTGACTGGATTTCATGCTTTGGATATGTTATATGTTTGCTTTAATTAATCTCAGTTGGATTTACTCATGTTTGGATCTAGCGATGTTCCTGTTTTTTTGGTGTATAATGAGAAATTTTCTAGAATTGTGAGGCAAATTTTCTAGAATTTATAGAATACTTATTTATAGAATTTTCAGTTTCATGGACTCTCTCTGTCTTTCTCTCCATGGGAACTTAGAGAGAGAGCAGAGGTCTTTCTGGCCTCCAAAGCCCTCTACGTACATTGCATGGCTGATGCCATCTCCGATTTTTATCTATCCTTTTTCTTGTAATACACCCTCCTATCTACCACCACCACCACTTACCACCCCACCATATTCATTACTGCCACAACTACCACCTACCATTTATTGCAATTGTCAACACCATCGCCACCACTTTTATTACCCATCACTATTGCTACCACTGCAAATTTTTTTTCATGCAATTGTCAACACCATCGCCACCACTTTCATTACCCATCACTATTGCTACTACTGCAAATTTTTTTTCAGGTTGAGTCTAGATAGGATAGACCTAAGACTTTGTCTGTGGGAATTATCGGGTGGGCCAAAATAGGCTTGGGTAGCGGTAAGCTACCCACCGTTCACTGAACGGGTCTATATATATCTTCATTTTAAAATATAGTCATGTGTTATCCCGTTGTTCCTGTTTCCGAGGCATGTGCAATGTTTGTACCAAAAAAACAAAAAGCATGTGCTGATGTGTATGAGTGCGTTTGCATCTTTTACAAAATTAAAAGATGGCCTCCTCACCTTGTGATAAACTAGCAACGTTACACGTAAATAAACTTCAATGTTATTATTTTTATAATATTTTTATAAAAATATTAATTGTATGCTTAATTAAATTAAATAATAAATTAGCTTCCAAATAATTAATTAATATTTTAATTATTACTAAATTTAATTATTAATTTATTCTATTAATTTTTGAGTAACTAATTTATCATTTATTTAGACATCTCTCGGGATTCCTTTAGATATTTGCACATCTAGTTGTATTATATAATTATTAATTTTTATTTTTTTAAATAGATTGATTAGATTACATAATATTATTATATTATTGCTTACTAAAAAATAAAACATAACATATATTTGATTGTAAAATTCAACCTGATATATATATATATATAGGATATTATTTTTTTATATAAATATAGATAATTGTATGTAGCTATATTACTAATAAATGAGTTCAAAAGAATTTAGAAATTCTTATAAAAAAGTTCAAAACAAGTAAGAAGTCAAATATGTGTAAAAAAAAGTAAAAATTAGATAAAAGTATATAAGTGAATATAATTGGTTTTATTATAATAATTAGGGATCAAAAAAGAAATCAAAAAATTTTCACAAATTCTGATATTTATAAGTAGTATACATATAGATATAAATATAGATAGATTATAATAAAGTAATATGCCATCTAACTTACCTAACCAGACAATTTTTTTTTCCAAACAAAGTGGGTGGGCGGACTGGGCTGTGTTGGGCTAGGCTTGGTGGGTGGGTTCTTGGGCTAGATTTTTTAGGGTGGGCTAATTGGTTGAGTATTGGGCTTGGGAGCAAGTCCAAGCCCTCTCCCGAGGAATATTGGACTTGAGTTCAGGCGTGTCAATTATTGAGCTTATCAAATTTTGAGCATATTTTTTTGGACAAGTAACAAGTCTCGTGGGCCAACCTAACCCATAGAAACCCCTAGGCACCCATCAACGCAGCCTAGGGATGGAACTAGAATTTTATTTCAAGAGAGGCCGTTGTCTTACAATTTTGGACTTTTTGCATTTTATACTTTAAAAGATTTTAAATTTTTTACTTTGCATTTTCAAATATTAAATTTTTTGCATTATATCCTCAATCTATCAAAATTATTGAAATATAGTCCTTCTGCTAGTTTCTGTTATTTTTTTCGTCAAAAGTCAACTTATTGACACAAGGGAAAAACTAACGAAAAGTTAACAGATTAGTCATATTGTAACACTTTTGATATATTAAACTGAAATGTGAGGAATTTAATATTTGAAGGTACAAAGTGAGAATCTTAAAAAAAATTTGGGTGCATAGTGCAATTCACCCTACAATTTTTTGTAAATTTCCATAGTAAGTTTTTGAATATGATCAAGGCATGTAAAATACAAATGAATAGACAAAATTCTATCTACATGAATGCG